TATTTTGTAATGCCTCAAAATGCATTTTGAGCTTATTTTATCTACCTCAGCAGTTATATATGTATATATTTATGTTCAAGTAAATTCAATTATGTGAAATATTTTATACCATGTTGCACTGGACATATTTGAGAGGTGTCCTTTTTTGAAAAATATAATAAAAAATTTTAGATCCATAATTTTTTAAATTTCTTTTTTAAATTTTATAATAAATACCTTGGCACGTACATCTTGATAGATCTATAATTTTAAAAGTAGTTTTTTTTCATTTATAATCCTTTAAGGTAAGCTTAAGATTTTTAAAACATTAAATTTGAAGAGTATTAACATTTATACTGTAGAATTTTGGTCTTTGTGATTATATGAAATTTTTAAGCCTTTGATTTAAAGATCTCTTTTTACTGTTAATTTTAGGTATATTTTGTTAAGTGAAACTTTTTAACTAAAATTTTTCTCTCAAAATAAATTATTTTTCACAGACTAAATCACAGGACTCGTGGTTGTACTCATGGCTAAGATTTATTGCAATGTAAGGATGTAGAGTACAATCAGCACAGGCAAAAAGTGGTGCATTGGGTGAAATCTTGAAACCAGACACAAGCTTGGCAGAGTCCTCTCAGTGGTTTCACACAGGACTCACTCAGTTCCCTCAGCAACCAGTTGTGGCAAATTGCCTTATCTACTAGGGAAACTCATCATCCAAGACTAGGAGTCTGAGGTCTTTTTTGGGGGTGAGCTATGTAGGCACATAGTTGCCAGTGTGATTGATGATTCTCTGAAATTCCAGACACCCAGAAGGAAAGCAGGTTTTCAGCATAAATTACATTTTTTTGGTATAGTCTAGGCAGAGTGAGCCACCTTTATTATTTAGGGAAAGTTTTATATCAGTGTAGGCAGCTGTTTACTAGTTAAGTTCATAGACACCAGCCAAGGGCCAGCCTGGCAAGCAGACCTTTCTAAAGAGAGCAGTCTTGGGCCTGCTGTGTTAACTATTTTAGGCACAAGATATAAATGGCATAAAGACACCAGTTAAATGACAGTGTCAGAATGAATTAAATCATTACCTAGCTATATGCTATCTATAAGAAAGTCATTATATATATGATTACCTATAGATACAGGTAGTTTAAAGGTAATAGGATGAGAAAAGATAACATGTAAACAGTGAACAAGAAATCTGATGCAACTATATTAATATTAGACAAAGTAAACTTCAGAGCAATGAAAATGACCATGAATAAAGAAGAATAGTATATAACGAAAAAAGTCAAAAGAATTGAGTAGCCAAAACTATTTTGAAAAAGAATAAAGTTGGAAGAATAACACTGCCCAATTTTTAGACTTAACGAAGTTACATTAACCATATAAGCATCATATTGATGAAGGGACAGACAGATCAATGGAACAGAATAGAGTTCAGAAATTTACACACACATATGGTCAATTGATTTTTGAATAAGTTGGCAGCAATTCAACAGAAAAGATTGTCTTCAACAAGTAAGTGCTAGAACAACTGTATATCCATATGCAAATAAACCTGAACTGAAACTTCATATCTTGTACATTAACTCAGAATGGGTTACATATCCAAATAAAAAAGTGCGAAATACTTTATTGGTTAAACCCCTCAGGACCATGTTGAAATCCTAAGACTGTCCTCCTTTATGGTTTGTGTAACATTGCTATTGCTAACACTATTTTACAAATGAGGAAGCAGGCAAATAGAAGATTAGGAATTTTTTTTTTTTTTGAAGACAGTCTCTCTCTCTTGCCCAGGCTGGAGTGCCTGGCTAGAGTGCCGTGGCGTCAGCGTAGCTCACAGCAACCTCAAACTCCTGGGATCAAATGATCCTCCTGCCTCAGCCTCCCGGGTAGCAGGGACTACAGGCATGCGCCACCATGCCCGGGTAATTTTCTCTCTCTCTCTCTCTCTTTATTATATATATATTTTTATTATAATATTATATATATTTTTTTTTTTTTTGAGACAGAATCTCGCTTTGTTGCCCAGGCTAGAGTGAGTGCCGTGGCGTCAGCCTAGCTCACAGCAACCTCACACTCCTGAGCTCAAGCAATCCTCCTGCCTCAGCCACCCGAGTAGCTGGGACTACAGGCATGCACCACCATGCCCGGTTAGTTTTTTCTATATATATTAGTTGCCCAATTAATTTCTTTCTATTTATAGTAGAGACGGGGTCTCGCTCTTGCTCAGGCTGGTTTCGAACTCCTGACCTCGAGCAATCCGCCGGCCTCGGCCTCCCAGAGTGCTGGGATTACAGGTGTGAGCCACTGCGCCCGGCCTCTATATATTTTTAGTTGGCCAATTTCTTTCTATTTTTAATAGAGATGGGGTCTTGCTCTTGCTCAGGCTGGTTTCGAACTCCCAACCTTGAGCAATCCGCCCGCCTTGGCCTCCCAGAGTGCTAGGATTACAGGCGTGAGCCACCGCACCGGTCGGCAATTAGTCTTTATTATAAGTCTTTCACAGAAGCGTGGCAGTGATACCAAAGGAACTAGCAATGAGCAAATTGCGTTTATTTTTCGACAGTTTTTGTTCTTTATCTTTTGTTTCCCACATACTGTGTTGGCTTTTTACTAATATTGACTTCAATATTGGCTTTCACTAAGTTTTTAAATAAAGTTATAGTACATCAACAACAAAAAGAAAGGTCTTCTCAACAGGTGACAGGGGTTATTACTTGGATATCCCCCTACACTGCTTGTTTATTTTTATTTTATTTTATTTTATTTTTTTTGAGACAGAGTCTCGCTTTGTTGCCCAGGCTAGAGTGAGTGCCGTGGCGTCAGCCTGGCTCACAGCAACCTCAAACTCCTGGGCTCAAGCAATCCTGCTGTCTCAGCCTCCTAAGTAGCTGGGACTACAGGCATGTGCCACCATGCCCGGCTAATTTTTTCTATATACATTAGTTGGTCAATTTCTTTCTATTTATAGTAGAGACGAGGTCTCGCTCTTGCTCAGGTTGGTTTTGAACTCCTGAGCTCAAACAATCCACCCGCCTCGGCCTCCCAGAGAGCTAGGATTACAGGCGTGAGCCACCGCGCCCGGCCTACTTGTTTATTAAATGGAGCGACTTGCCTGAGCCCTTACCTGTGGCAGGAGTGGTGCAGGCAATGGAGACTGAATAAGAAGGTGAATAAGAATGTTGCCTTTACATTATCACAGTCTAATTTCAAAAAAAGACAAAAAACTCTCCGAACTTGTAATGAGAGGTTGAGTCTATGAAGAGATAAAGATAAATCCGTGTGGAGACACAATTAGGATCTCACTAAGGTATTCCTTGAAAAGTCATGTCTGATTGTGTAAAGCTGCCCTGTGCACATGAAACCCCACATGGCTGGGGTGCACTTGAAATGTGGCTAGTGTGACCAAGGTATTGAATTCTTAATTGTAGTGTAATGGTGGTACAGGTGCTCATGCCTATATCTAAGCACTTGGAGAGAAGAGGGATCATTAGGCAGAGTTAACAGCGCCTGGCCAATGTAGTGAGATCTTCCATCTCTACAAACTTAAAAAATATTTTTAATTTGTTGAGGATTAAATACTGATTGTTGATTCAGTTATGGAACTTTAAGTGGTACGTGGTATGTGAAATCCCCCCCAAGAGTAGTTTAGTGAACTCTAATTATAGATCAAGTATTTCTGATAAAAATTTAGCATTTTAATTCAGATGGCTGTTAAATATAAACTACACAGCAGATATCAAAGATTTAGTATTGGCCGGGCGCTGTGGCTCACGCCTGTAATCCTAGCTCTTGGGAGGCCGAGGCGGGCGGATTGCTCAAGGTCAGGAGTTCAAAACCAGCCTGAGCAAGAGCGAGACCCGTCTCTACTATAAATAGAAAGAAATTAATTGGCAACTGGTATATATATAAAAAATTAGCCGGCATGGGCGCATGCCTGTAGTCCCAGCTACCCAGGAGGCTGAGGCAGAAGGATCACTCGAGCCCAGGAGTTTGAGGTTGCTGTGAGCTAGGCTGACGCCACGGCACTCACTCTAGCCTGGGCAACAAAGCGAGACTCTGTCTCCAAAAAAAAAAAAAAAAAAGATTTAGTATTAAAAAAAAAGCTTTGGCATTTCCATTTCTTCATTTATGAAGGTGATCACCTTCACTGTAGTGATCCTACAAGTAATATGTTTGGAGGAGCATTGTAAACTTCAATTTTTGCGTCATTACTATTAGAGCATTTACAAAGCCTGGTAATTAATGGAAGAATGGCAACAGTACTAGAAGAGAGTTCCTGCACCACAAAGTAAACTGATGGTTCTCTGAGGAGCAGGGCAGCATTATGGTGGGGACAAGGACTAGGCCACACTGCAGGAATTGTTCAATTCGAATTTCACTTCCTGTGTTGTCACTTTTCTTTATTTGCTGCAATTTCATCTTTTATGGCCAATTCCCTCTTAGAATTATTCATGTTTTTGGACATTTAAATGTGACTTTTATGTACTAGAGAGTCTAATGACATATTTGACATTTGACTACTGACAGCTCTCAAGCCCCACGTGGGCAGCTGTTTTGAAAGCCCAGGTGCTTCCTCTTTAGACTCTAAAGGGCAATTCAAGCCACAGGGGCCCTGGCATGTGCACTGGAGACCTCACCTCCACCTCACCCCTTACCCGTAATAATACCGGAAAGCCAGACGCTTTTCCCTGCTCTCAAGTCATTTTTTCTTCTTTTTTTTTTACTCTTAAAGTCCAGTCTTATCAAGCCATTTTTTTTTTTTTTTTTTTTGAGACAGAGTCTCACTTTGTTGCCCAGGCTAGAGTGAGTGCTGTGGCGTCAGCCTAGCTCACAGCAACCTCAAACTCCTGGGCTCAAGCGATCCTCCTGCCTCAGCCTCCCAAGTAGCTGGGACTACAGGCATGTGCCACCATGCCGGCTAATTTTTTCTATATATGTATTAGTTGGCCAATTAATTTTCTTTTTATTTATAGTAGAGACGGGGTCTCACTCTTGCTTAGGCTGGTTTCGAACTCCTGACCTCGAGCAATCCACCCGCCTCGGCCTCCCAGAGTGCTAGGATTACAGGCGTGAGCCACCGCGCCCGGCCCAAGCCATTTTTGAACTTGTTTGGGAGCTATCACTTTTCTCCTCAGCTTCATCACGTGAGTCATAAACCTTTACATATTCTCTTTGTGCATATAGGGCCGTCATCAGAGTTGAAAATCAAACCAAGTTTTGGGTGGGGAATCCAGATCATAATCTTCAGGGTAATATCGAAGATAAACACAGTGGACATTAATTAAAGTGGTGAAACTAAAGAGCTGAGCTCTATTCCACTTTGTGCAGAGGTCATTGGGTATTTTTTTCTGTGTGTGTGATTGGGTATTTAAAAGGGAGAATGAAGGAGTAGGGAGAGGAAGTGAAAAATTACAAAGGGTCAGCGTAAATGTGATTAGGCCAGCTGTGTTTGCCTGCTGTTATCAAAGTTAGGATTCTATCCTCCCACAGAGACTGGGAGACAGACCTTATCTTTCCTCACACACACACACACACACACACACACACACACACACACACACACACACACGCGAGTCACATATGCCTCTCAAAGGGAGGAGGAGGAGGATTGATAATTGTAAGTCATTTTTAGTAAATGCTCCAAGAAACAGATGTCTATGGTCGGGTGTTGGCTAGAACAAACAGTAAGTTATCCTGGCAGCATTCAGCTTTCTCAGGCAGGCATTTGAACAGGGCACTGGAATCATCTGAGGGACACAGGCTCTGCTGCTGGCAGCCATGCCAGAGTTTCTTTCAGTGCAGAGGTTTCAGAGGGAGTTATATGCAGAGAGATCTGCAGCTCTCAGTAACCACAACAGTTTATCAATGGGAGACAAGAAGTCCACACAATGACTTGTTGCTGTCTCTGTGTGAATTGAATAACAGATTTACAGTGACCAATCAACAGACTTTGAAAGAAGAGATGTGACTGGTCACTGATCATGATGTGCCTTTGAGATTAATGTAGTGAAGTGTAGACTGAATAGCTAGCAGCGAGTTTGTACTTTATGGGATTACTCATGGTTATTATACTGTGGTAACTGAAATTTAAATCATGTTGGGGTACTGGTGCAATTTAACTAAACCATGGTGACTGAAATTCATGTATATCAGAACCATGCTAAACAAAGGCTGCCTGCTGAGTATAGTGCTGTCATATTTTATGGGGATTTAAATCATGCACATTTAAAAATGTGAATATTTGAAAGTTGTATGTTATACAAAGATTGAAGTAATGCAATCCATTTAATATTTTAAAAAATTATCAGGAATCAATTTTTTGTTTGTTTGTTTCTAGTGTGGTCCTTGCACTGAAAGGAATCAAAGAATTTCAAAATACTCTTGAAGAGTAAGTCGAAGGCAGTGTTATCATTATACTTAGTTGCCTTTCACTAGAACATAAAATTTAACTCCCTTACTTGTCAGTCTCCTATAAATGCTGTGTATTTTCTTTAAAACTTTTGTGTATGGTCTGCTGACTTGTGCTGCTATTCTAATATTCAGTGTTGTTAAAGTCAAAATCATTTTTTAACCAACTAACCCAAGTATTCATTTAGTATGGTATTAATGCTTGTGCTATAAAATATGCCTGAAAATTGATAACCGGAATATTTTGTTTTTAAATAAAATTTGATGTACTTTTGCAGTTAAATTGGTAGAGAATAGTTTCTGAAATGCTGAGAAAATATAAAGCATAATTAAAACAAAATTTCTCTACCCTATTTGTATATTTATGCCTTCTGATGCCTTCCGTTTGCACTATTCCAATGGGAAAATTAGTACTTGATTATGGAGGGAGTGAATCTTGCCAAGTGCAGTGCATTGTAATATGTGGGTTTTGTTGCATCTTGGTTAAAAAACAGCTTCACATTCCAGCCTGGGCGATAGAGGGGAACCTGTCTCTTAAAAAAGAAAGAAAGAAAGAAAAAGCTTGGAATGTCTTAAAATCTCTATGATAGATATTCTTGGGATAATTGGGGAAATCTGAATATGGACTTGATAATAGATGGCTTTTATGGAATCATGGTTAAATTTTATGGGTGTGGCAATGGTGTTGTTACTATGTGGAGTCTGTTCTTAATTTTAGAAATACATGACATATTTAGGGCTGAAGTGTCCTCACTTCTGCAATTTACTTTCTTTTTTTGAGACAAACTCTCACTCTGTTGCCTGGGCTAGAGTGCCCTGCGTCAGCCTAGCTCACAGCAACCTCTAACTCCTGGGCTCAAGCAATCCTGCCTCAGTCTCCCAAGTAGCTGGGACTACAGACATGTGCACCACGCCCGGCTAATTTTTCTCTCTCTATATTTTAGTTGTCCAGCTAATTTCTTTCCATTTTTAGTAGAGACGGGGTCTCACTCTTGCTCAGGCTGGTCTGGAACTCCTGAGCTGGAGCGATCCTGCCGCCTCGGCGTCCCAGAGTGCTAGGATTACAGGCTTGAGCCACCACACCCGGCCTGCAATTTACTTTCAAATGATTTAGCACAAATGCACATAGGTAAAGTGAACATGGCAAAATATCAGTAGCTGTTGACTCTAAATGAGGTCCGTTTATTGAATCCTTTCAAATTTTCCATTCGACATTTTCAGTAAGAACGCTGGCAAATATATAGACCAAGAAAAGGTTTATATTGTTTACTGAATATATGCTATAGTTATTCCGTTTTTGTAAAAGTCATTTCTCCAAAGGAGGTAAGGCCATGTTATAGTTGTTTTCTTCTTTTAGTTTGTGTGTGCTTTATCCACAAATTTTGTGCCTGCAGTGATCTTGGGAAGTTAGCAGTATCACAGCTTACTGTCATCACTACTACGACCAAGACCACCAGCACCGAACTGCTTCGCTGTCCTGGGACCAGCCCTGCCGCCACGGCTGCGCTTTCCTGTTCAGAGCCTGCCCCGCGGGCTCGGGATCCGTGCTCGCGGAGACACCTGCGCGCCCCCTCCCGGCGCGGAGGACGCCGTCGGGGTGAGGCTCCCGCCGCGCAGCCCCACGGGAAACGGCCTCTCCGGGTCGCCGCTGGTGCGCGCCTCGCTCGAGGCCGAGACGGGCGACCGGCGCATGCGCGGCCTCGGTCCTGGCGCGGCGGGAGCGGGGCGCGGTTGGGGCGCCGCCCGGACCAAAGAGCCAGCCGCGCCCGCGGGTGGGGGTCGGGCCTCGGTTCTGCGCGCTCCGGCAGCCGCGGCCCTCCGCAGTGCAGGAGAGGGCGAGAGGCGGGCGGGCGGCCGGCCCGGCAGCTCTGCGGCGAGCAGGCGCAGCGGCGTCTGCCGCCCGTGCCGCGGCCGCCGCGCGCCTGGTGGGGCCTGCGGGGACTGCTGGCGCCCCGGGAGGGCGCGCGTGTGCCCGGCCGACTCCGCGCGGGAGGGGGCGTGGGCACACCGCTCGCCTGCTCCCTAGAATCTGATGGCGCCCAAGTTCAGCGTTGCCGCAGCGCTGAACCTTAGGACACCATTGTCAAGTATAACGTGGGCTGCGTTTTATCTTGGGGCACTCATAGTTCTGGGCTCCTGGTGTGTTTTCAGGGCTGCTGGGTCACACTGCATAATGGGGGGCTCTGGGCCTGGCTGAACTATCCAGCCATTGTATCCTCAGTGGTCCTGATTTGGGTTCTTTGAAGGACCAACCTGAGATTCTGGGGCATAGGGAGTTCCAAGACTTGAGCCCCGATGTAAGTTCCAGCTAAAATGATTTTGTTCACTCGGCCCAGATCCTGGCTCTTAAGAGCAAAGCTGCTTTTCTGAGGTAAAGAGCAGCCCCATCTGGAGGAAGACAAGGCTGAGAAAGAGCTAGATTTGCACGGCTAGAAGCAGCGTGTGATCCTTGTGCTCCACAAGCCACCTCTAACTGTGAAACAATGAGAGGTGTATGCTAGGTTTTAGAAGAGAGGTTCGCTGGGCCTAAGGCAAGGGGCAGGTCTGCCCAGGAAATGTCACTTCATCTGCAGGTTTTTCTTTCTGTTTTTGTTTTTGTTTTTTTTTTTTGGAGACAGTCTCACTCTTGTTGCCCTGGCTAGAGTGCAGTGTCAGCCTAGCTCACAGCAACCTCAAACTCCTGGGCTGAAGCGATCCTCCTGCCTCAGCCTCCCAAGTAGCTGGGACCACAGGCATGTGCCACCATGCCTGGCTAATTTTTTCTGTATGTTTTTAGTTGACCAATTAATTTCTTTCTATTTTTAGTAGAGACCGAATCTCACTCTTGCTCAGGCTGGTCTCAAACTCCTGAGCTCAAACAATCCTCCTGCCTCCGTCTCCCAGAGTGCTAGTATTACAGGTGTGAGCCACTGTGCCTGGCCCATCTGCAGGTTTGAGAGAGTCTGGGGAAAGAAATACCACCTACTATTGAGACAATTGTCTTAAACTCCCCAATGGCCTTTGACTTTTTTCAAATTCTCCATTCTTTCAGATCCTGAGGGACCCTCACATCATGCTCCTTACCATAGGTGGCCTTGAGAAATGTGGGTGCTTTCTCCATCCTGTTGTACACATTCAGAAAGCAGTGCAAGGATAGAACTTCCTGGAGTACCAGTTTTTGTCTAACATGAAAGATGAAAAACACGGAGCTCTGGAGAGTGACTGTCCAGGTCATCCCATTCATTAGTATCCTAGACAGTAGTCAGAATTCCTGACGTAAGTTAAAGTCAGTTTCCGTCAAAAGACTGAGAAAATACTGCCAAGGTAGTTAAGGGCCAAAGGGCATTCTCCTACAGGAGCACAGTGTATCCAGCCAGTGTGTAGAGTTTTATAGGCAGGAGAATCCAGGAGGCTCAGGGCAGGGCAGGCGAATGTGGCAATCACTACACTACAGACACCCTGCCTCAGAGCTCCTGTCATCCATTCTTTCTTTTACAGCTCCGCCTTCCTAGTTCTGTAAGTGTTTTCTGGCACAGCAGAAAATGATCAGATCTCAGGTGAGTTGTTTATTTTTTGTTCCCTATTTGGTTTACAATGTCTTAGATTAGAATGGAAATGTAGAAATAGATGAAAATCAACTTCAGAGAAAATATAAAAGAGTTCATCAATATCAGGACAAAGCAGTATGCAGAATTATGTAGGTTCCATGATCTTTCAGCAAATTTGTTTGATCTTTCTGATGGTCATAGTAAAAATGCTGTGTTCTCTGTTATATGATTTGCATTGGCTATTAAAAGAAATCAAGAATTCTGCATGAGACATGAACAGTTATTGGCATTGAAGTCCAAAAAATGTTCTTTTCCTGTAGGTAACATAGTAAATATCTTTCAGTGAGTACCAGAAATCAGTGCAGCCTGCTGCCTGTGATTGCTCCTGAGGGGAAGCAGAGCACTTTGTGCTAGTGGAGTACTCAGTTGGTACATGTTTCTAAGGGTCTGCGTGCATCCCTTAGACCTTTTTCTGATGGTTCCTGCTTGATCGAGGCATAGAACCTTGCATATGTGCGAGAGAGAATGGATTATGTCACCTTCAGATAAACTCCTTAAATATTATGTATAGATTGGACAGCAGATAGGTTAAAGTTATATTTTCTGGCAAATGTCTCACCATTTCCATTTTGTATTTCAAACTGCCCAACTTGCTGGATCTATCTGGTAAGGGATACCAGTGACCTTATTATGGCAAATGTCATGGATACTTTAGTGCTTGCCTTAATTGAGCATTCTGTCCAGTTGATGCTCATGGCATGTCTCCCAGAATGTCTTACTGTTTGGTTTCTGATCTGGTCCTTCCTCTGTGATTATTTCTTTTTTGTCCTCAGTGAAGTGTAAGGGACTGACATATTTTCCTAGTTTAAGAATTAAATTTAGGCCGGGCGCGGTGGCTCACGCCTGTAATCCTAGCACCCTGGGAGGCCAAGGTGGGCGGATTGCTGAGGTCAGGAGTTTGAAACCAGCCTGAGCAAGAGCGAGACCCTGTCTCTACTATAAATACAAAGAAATTAATTGACCAACTAATATATATAGAAAAAATTAGCCGGGCATGGTGGTGCATGCCTGTAGTCCCAGCTACTGGAGAGGCTGAGGCAGCAGGATTGCTTGGGCCCAGGAGTTTGAGGTTGCTGCGAGCTAGGCTGATGCTACGGCACTCACTCTAGACTGGGCAACAAAGTGAGACTCTTGTCTCAAAAAAAAAAAAAAAAAAGAATTAGTGAGTAATGTACGTGCTCTGCCCAGAGCGTTTGAAAGTAATGTGCTCTAGTCAGGCTCCCTGTGATAAACAAGGCTGTTGCCTAGAGGTATAACAAAGGACCTGAGCTGCAAGTGAACAAGAGCTACCCAGCCCCACAGCATTGGGGGTCTGGAGCCACACGATAAACACATTGTTCCTGTGATTGCTGCTTAAACCCCATAATATGGCTGGTTAGTCAATGACTGGTAAGACCCCTCAAGAAAAGGGGCGACCTAAGCCATGCACAGCTGCCAGAGGTCAGCCTAAGATCTTAGAGGGTAACCCTAAGAGAAGCTGGGGATGAGAAATTCCCCTGTGGCTTGCCTTGCCCACCCTTGCTAATCTCAGTCCTTTATCTATGCCTAGTGCCTCAAGCAACCACCTGGAAATTCTGAGTCAGGGGATATCTGCTTCCCTAAGGCTACGCATTCCAGTTTATGGCCATTGCTGTAATGCCTGGGTGGTTATGTACAAAGAACTAATTTTAATTTTTTAGAGTATAAAAATAAAACTGACCCGGAGTATTATTACTCGAGTCAACCATCTGTATGTGTGTCTGTGTTTTTCTTTGTGTTCTGCATTTGTGTTTTGTGTTCTGTGTTCATCCTCCATCCTGTAAACGGGCCACGGCAGTGGAGTCTTCTTCCTCTTCCCGCTTCTTGTTATTACTGCATCTAGGTGTCCATTCTTGATCTCTTACTATCCTCACTTTCCTGGGCTTGCTGACGTGTGTCCTTTCCTCTCTGAGGTTACACCATCTGCTGAGATGCTTGGCTCTGGATCTCTAGCCTAGACTTCTCTACTTTAGACTCTAATGGCCAACTTTCTGCTGGTCATCTCTGTGTAGCTCATCCAAAGGCCCCTCAAATTTCACAGATCCAAAGAGAAAGTTGTTATTTATAGTCTCCAGTTTTCTCCTTTCTTTCCCATAGAATGTCAGCCAGTTCATCATACAAATGACAAACATTTGTCTTTACTGCTGTCCTTTACCTGCAAGTAGCACATCCAGTCAGTGATCAAGTCTTGTGACTTTCAAGTTGTTAATCTTTCTTTCTTTTTTTGAAGTTGAGGCAAAGTGCATAAATCGTAAGTGCACAGCTTGATGAATTTTCATATGCCACACACCTGGATAACTGTCACCCAGATCAAGATGAGGGGCATTTCGTTTTCTGTGCTGTGGAAGGCTGCCTTGTATTCTCTCCAAGATTGTACTTGCCCACTGTCACATAAGGGTAACTGTTATTTTGACCTCTGTCATCTGTCGAAAATTAGGGACCATATATGTGAGGATCTCTTTTTGAATTCTCAGTGGTGTTGCAATTGTCTGTTTATCAAGCCTTGTGCTGATACCACCCAGCCCTTATTATTGTAGCATTATAAAAGTGTTCATATCTGCGGGTATAAGTTCTCTAACTTTGTCCTTTTTTTTTTTTTTGAGACAGAGTCTCGCTTTGTTGCCCAGGCTAGAGTGAGTGCCGTGGCGTCAGCCTAGCTCACAGCAACCTCAAACTCCTGGGCTCAAGCAATCCACCTGCCTCAGCCTCCCGAGTAGCTGGGACTACAGGCATGCGCAACCATCGCCGGCTAATTTTTTCTATATATATTAGTTGGCCAATTAATTTCTTTCTATTTATAGTAGAGACGGGGGTCTTGCTCTTGCTCAGGGTGGTTTTGAACTCCTGACCTTGCGCAATCTGCCCGCCTCAGCCTCCCAGAGTGCTAGGATTATAGGCGTGAGCCACCGCTCTCGGCCTCTAACTTTGTCCTTTAAGATTGTCTTGGCTACTTTAGGTCCTTTGTATTTCAGTATAAACTTTATAATCACTGTCATCCCTTCTTCCACACCTAACTGCGTATTTAGTATTGTATTACATCTATAGATCAATTTGGGAGAATGGTCATATTAATACTAACTTTTTTCCATTCATCAACATGACGTTACTCTCAGTTTACTTAAGTCTTTTTTCATTTTCTCAGCAGTGTCTGGCACTTTTCCATGTGGATGTCTTATACTTCTTTTGTTAACTTTATCCTGGGTATTTGAAAAATTTTTCCCCATTTGGGTGTTGCTAGTATGTAGTTGGTTTTTTATTTTAAAATTTTTTTTTTTTTTTTGGAGACAGAGTCTTACTCTGTTGCCCAGGCTAGAGTGAGTGCCGTGATGTCAGCCTAACTCACAACAACCTCAAACTCCTGGGCTCAAGGAATCCTTCTGCCTCAGCCTCCCAAGTAGCTGGGACTATAGGCATGTGCCACCATGCGTGGCTAATTTTTTCTATATATTTTTAGTTGGCCAATTAATTTCTTTCTATTGTTAGTAGAGACAGGGTCTCACTCTTGCTCAGGCTGGTTTTGAACTCCTGACCTTGAGCGATCCTCTCGCCTCTGCCTCCCAGAGTGCTAGGATTACAGGCGTGAGCCGCCATGCCCAGCCTGTAGTTGGTTTTGTATATTGAACTTGTACTCAGTGATCATTTATTAATTCTAACATTTTATCTGTAGATTATTTTAGATTTTCTACTTACACTTATATTTTATATGAAAATTTCTTCCTTCTTAATCTTTAAACTTTTATTTATTTTTCTTTCTTTATTGCAGTAGCCCTAACTCTGATGTTCAATGAAATTGCGGTATTACATGCTTATTTTCTTCCCAGTCTCAAGGGAAAATTTTCAATGTTTTATCATTTAGTATATGTTTACTATCAGTTTTTTGTTAGATATTTTTTGGACATTATTATTGAGATGATTATATGGTTTTCTCCTTTTTTCTTTAAATAGATTGATTGATATTAACCTATTGATTGAGATAATTCTGTTAATGTTTTGATTTTCAAATGTTAAATCAGTCTATTTTCTGGGGAAGGGAGGAATCACACTTGGGGTCAATGTTCTATCCTTTTAAAATATATTTTATGATAAATTGTTAGGGATTTTTGTGTCTTTGTTCTTGAGATAGATTATTTTCCTTTATTTCTATTTTTTTATTTTTTAGAGCCATTTTTTTTTTTTTTTTTTTAGGTCTCACTCTGTTTCCTGGGGTAGAATGCAGTGCTGTGATCAGAGCTCACTGCAGCCTCAAACTCCTGTGCTCAAGTGACCCTTCTGCCTCAGGCTCCTGAGTAGCTGGGACTACAGGTGCACAGTGCCTAGACTGGCTAATTTTTCTATTTTTTGTAGAGATAGGGTCTTGCTATTGCCCAGGCTGGTCTTGAACTCCTGGACTCAAGCAGTCTTCCTGCCTTGGCCTCCCAAAGTGCTAGTATTACAGGCATGAGCCACTGTGCCCAGCCCCAGCTAATCTTTTTTTTTTTTTTTTGAGACAGAGTCTTACTCTGTTGCCCTGGCTAGAGTACCGTGGCGTCAGCCTAGCTCACAGCAACCTCAAACTCCTGGACTCAGGGGATCCTCCTGCCTCAACCTCCCAAATAGCTGGGACTACAGGCATGTGCCACCATGCCCGGCTAATTTTTTTTTTCCGTATATTTTTAGTTGGCCAATTCGTTTTCTTTGTATTTTTAGCAGAGAGGGTCTCGCTCTTGCTCAGGCTGGTTTCGAACTGCTGACCTTGAGCAATCCGCCCGCCTCGACCTCCCAGAGTGCTGGATTACAGGCGTGAGCCGCCGCGCCCTGCCTCTTGATAGGAACTTAAGTCTTCACCGTGGCTCGCCCCTTAATATTTTAAGTCAAGGTCAACAGTGCCCTCTAGTGGTTAAGTCTTAGTCTTCCTCTTACATGACCTTGTAGACGCATTTGGCTCTATCGATTACAGGTATATCTAATTTATTGTGCTTTGCAGATAATTTGTTTTTTTTTTTTTTAGAAGTTGAAAGTGTGTGGCAACCATGCTTTGATGAAGTCTGTGGGTACCATTTTTCTAACAGCATGTGCTCACTTTGTGTCTCTGTGGCATATCTTGGTAGTTCTCACAATATTTCAGACTCCATTATATCTGTTATGGTGATCTGTGATCTGTGATCTTTGATGTTGCTGTTGTAACTGTACTACACCCATATAAGATGGCGAACTTAACAAATGTTGTGTGTGCTGTGACTGACTGTTCTACCACCTAGCTGTTGCAGTCTCTCCCTTTCCTCGGCCCTCCCTATTCCCTGAGACACAACATTGAAATTAGGCTAATTAATTATCCTACAGTAGCCTCTAAGTGTTCAAATGAAAGGAAGAGTTGCATGTCTCCTAACTCTTTCTAGCTTTAAATCAAAAGTGAGGAAGGCATATTGAAAGCCAAGATAGGCCAAAAGTTAGGCTTGCTTCAAACAGGCAAGTTATAAGTGCAAAGGGAAGGTTTTCGAAGAATGATAAGTAAGTGAAATAGCCTCATTTTTGGTATGGAGAAAGTTTTAGTGGATGGGATAGAAGATCCAGCCAGCTACAACAACATTCCTTTAAGCTAAAACCTAATCCAGAGCAAGGCCCTAACACTCTTCAATTCTTTGAAGGCTGAGAGAAATGAGGAAGCTACAGAAGCTTGAAGCTAGCAGAGGTTGGTTCATGAAGTTTAAGGAAAGAAGCTATTTTCATAACATAAAAGTGCAAGATGGGCTGGGCGCAGTGGCTCTTGTTCTTAGTACTTTGGGGTGCGGAGGCAGGAGAATGGCTTGAGCCCAGGAGTTGGAAGTTGCAGTGGGCTATGGACAAGGACACCACTGCAGTCTAGCCCAGGCAACAGGGTGAGACCCTGTCTCAAAACAACAATAACAAAAATGTGCAAGTGCAAGATGAAGCAACAAGTGCTGATGTAGAAGCTAAGATCATTGATGAAGGTGGCTACACTAAACAACAGATTTTCAATGTAGACAGAACAACCTGTTGGATGAAGATGCCATGTAGGACTTTCATAGCTAGAGAAGAGAAGTCAATGCCAGACTTCAAAGAGTCAAAGGACAGGTTGGCTGTCTTGTTAGGGACAAATGCAGCTGGTGACTTTAAGTGAAAACCAATGCTCATTTACCATTCTGAATATCTTAGGGCCCTTAAGAATTATGCCCAAACCTGTATTTGTAAATGGAACCACAAAGCCTAGATGACAGCTCATCTTTCTATGGGATGGTTTACTGAATATTTTTAAGCCCACTGTTGAGACCTACTGCTTAGAAGAAAAGATTGCTTTCAAAATATATACTACTCATTGCCAGTGCACCTGTTTACCAAAGAGCTCTGCTGGAGATGTCCAAGGAGATTAATGTTGTTTTCATGCCGGCTAGCATGGCATCATTCTGCAGCCATCAATCAAGGAGTCATTTTGGCTTTCAAATCTTATTATTTAAGAAATATATTTATAAGGTTATAGCTGCTGTAGATAGTGATTCCTTTGATGGATTTGGACAACGTAAATTGAAAACCTGAAGAAGATTCACCATTCTAGCTGCTGTTAAGAACAGTCATGATTCATAGGAAGAGGTGCTTTGTAATCCCAGCTACTTGGGAGGCTGAGGCAGGAGGATCACTTGAGGCTGCAGTGATGGTGCACTGTGATGGTGCCACTGCACTCCAGCCTGGGTGACAGAGCAAGATCCTGTCTTTAAAATGAATAAATAAATAAAACTATCTACATTAGCAGGAGTTTGGAAGAAATTGATTCCAACCCTTGTGGATGACTTTCAGGGGTTCAAGACTTCAGTGGACAAAGTCACTGCAGATGTGGTGGAAATAGCAAGAGAACTAGAATTAGAAGTACAGACTGGGCCAGGTGCAGTAGCTCACGCCTGTAATCCTAGCACTCTGGGAGGCCGAGGTGGGCGGATTGCTCAAGGTCAGGAGTTCAAGACCAACCTGAGCAAGAGCGAGACCCCATCTCTACTAAAAATAGAAAGAAATTAATTGACCAACTAAAAATATATATAAAAATTAGCCGGGCAAGGTGGCGCATGCCTGTAGTCCCAGCTACTCGGGAGGCTGAGGCAGAAGGATTGCTTGAGCCCAGGAGTTTGAGGTTGCTGTGAGTGACCTAGGCTGACACCATGGCACTCTAGCTTGGTCTCAAAAAAAAAAAAAAGTACAGCCTGAAGATGTGACTGAATTGATGGAATCTCATGATAAAACTTGGACGGATGAGGAGCTGCTTCTTGGGGATGAGCAAGGAGGGTGGTTTCTTGAGGTGGAATCTGCTCCTGGTGAAGGTCCTGCAACATTGTTGAGACAACAAAGCATCTAGATATATTATATAAACTTAGTTGATAAAGCAGCAGCAAAGTGTGAGAGGTTTGACTCCAATTTTGAAAGAAGTTCTGTGGGTAAAATGCTACCAAACAGCATCCCATGCTACAGACTGCAGAGAAATCTTCTGTGAAAGGAAGAGTTAACGGATGCAGCAGACTTCATTGTTTTAAGAAATTGCCACAGCTACCCCAGCCTTTAGTAACCACCACCCTGATCAGTCAGCAGCCATCAACATCAAGGCAAGACCCTCCGCCAGCAAAATGATTACTACTTGCTGAAGGCTCAGATGGCCGTTAACATTTTTTTTTTTTAGCAATAAAGTAGTTTTTAAATTAGGATTTGTACATTGGTTTTTTTAGATGTAATGCTATTGCACACTTAATAGACTAACAGTAAAGTGTAAACGTAACTTTTATATGCACTGGGAAACCAAAAGATCTGTATGACTCACTGTATTCCAGTATTCACTTCTTTGCGCTGGTCTCATATACCTGTACTTTTTTCTTGTGATTGACTTTAATAATTTGGCTTATAGGAGACCACATTCTTTTAACTTTCCTTTGCTCTCATTGTTTGCTGGTTTCTCTTTTTCATCCTAGTTCTGCATATTCATGTGCAGTCCTTGGTCCTTGTCCTTTCTCTGAGGTCCTTCCTCTTGGCGATGTTGTTTGCTTTCATCAGTACTTTCCTAATAACTCCTGGGGCCTGGTCATTCCTGATAATATCTCTAGCTCAGATTTCTTCCTGCACTTAGGATGCATATATCTAATTGTCCACTCTGCGTCTCCACTGGAGTGTTTTATAGATCCAAGCTCAACATGACTAAAGCTGGCTTCCTGGATTCCACCTCCCAAACCTGCACCCTCCGGAGCCCTCCTTCCCCTTCCTGTTTGATAGCAGACCCCTCGGAATCATCTTCGACCTGTTTCTCTCAGCGTGCCACACTTTGTTTGTCAGCAGAACCTCTGGGCCATACATCCTGAATATATCTAGAGTGTGACACCTCTTCTGGTCCTCTCTGGGATATTTCTTGCCTGGGTTACAGCAAGAGTCACACAGCAGTTTCTCTGCTGCTCAGTCCTGGTTCCTGGCATAGCATCCAGTGTACCCTCGAAGGATGGGAGTTGAGTTATTCTATGTTCCTCTTGTGCCTTTTACATAAAAGCCAAAGGTCCAGTAGTGGGTTATGTGGCCCATTACTTTTATGACTTCTCCTCTGGATCACTCTGCTCCGGCCTGACTTGCCTTTTTGCTGCACATGCCAGGCACAGCGCCACCTTTGTCCTCGTGTGAAATGTGCCCTCTTCCTGGAGCGCTTTCCCAGGGAGCCTGTGGCTCCTTCTTGCCGCCTCAGGACCATGTATGTCCTCTGCACAAACTCCCACCCCTTGCCTTGGTCCACTTTGTATTTTCGACATAGCACTTCTCATCCAACATGCTCTGCGATTTTCTTCTTATATTGTCGATTGTCTATTTTCTCCCTCTTGGGTGAATGTGATCCTCTTGCAGGCTTTGTTTTTCACTGCTGTCTCTCAAGTGCCTAGGGTAGTGACGGGCACATAAAAAGTATTCAGAAGTCATTGAGTGAGTGAACTTTTATGTATGTTTAGTTTTAGACATCTCCTTTGTAAGTACTATGTATTAATAGTGCAATTTTTTAAAATCCAATTTAAGATTTTCTACCTTTTTTAACAGACTTAATATATCATTGCTTGAGTGTTTCCTTGTTTTATGTTTTATACTTACTGAAATATATATATTTTTAAGAGACAGAGTCTCACTCTCACCCAGGCTGCAGTGCAGTGGCGCCATCATAGCTCATCATCACTTTGCACTCCTGGGCTCAAGCGATTCTCCTGCCTCAGCCTCCCAAGTAGCTGGGT